GATAGTTTCATCTGGCAAATCAACAGAAGTAAGACTGATATGATTGTAAATACCGCTTTATTGTTTCACCACAATCAATATAACATCAATCTCGTTTACCATTTCTAAGTGATCTTGCTTCTACTACTTGGAAATCCAGTCACAAACAGAAAAAAATACATCCGCTACCTAAATAAAAGTACAAGAAATGCTATAAATTCTTTATTATTAATACAAATAAAAAGCTAAAATTGCTGAAATCAAATCAATTACTGCAATTCAGTATTTCGTGTCGTTACTATTATTGAACATACTACTTACTTAGTACATCCATCGTTATAGTTACAATTAAACTAGAAATTTCAAATGAACTATTACGTTTATTATGAATTTTTATTCCAAGAATATATACTATAAGCGTGTTACAAGTGTATTAAATAATTAAAATAATTAATTAATTCTTAGAAGTATCGTAACAAAAAACTGTGTAATTCAACGTTCTGCTTCCCTATCGTGAATTAAGGCAAGAAAGCATAAATTTGAGAGACTTTGATTGTTTCTTATACATACCGATTAATCGCCAATTCAAGATTCTCAAGTTGCACCCCTTTCACATGCTCCCAGATGTGCTCCTCGCATTTTCTTCTCGAGTAATGCCAAAGGTCTCTTGAACGATGAAGTTTAAAATGGAAATCGCGATGACATCATGATTACGTTCACGAAGAAGTTGATGACGAACGGGGAACAGTCGTACCAAAGATCCCTGCTGTTCGCGGAACAAAAATATGACGACTCTTAACCTTTTGACACGACCTACTAATTATCTATTCCCCGATTTATTAGTAGAGTTTCGGTTAAACACGCGATAATACCATCGACACCTAACATAGCTCACGAAACACGCACAATGACAGTCGTAACGAATAAAAAATCAAATAATAATTCATATTTCACTTCCTTTCAGAGAATTTAAGATATCGTGTTCTTTTTCGTACTTACAAATGTATACTTTACCTTTTATAATTTTTTTATTTTGATTTTCATCTTGACCATAACCTATATTTTGTTACTTCAACGTGTTGTTGTTTCTTTTTCGTATTAAAAATCTTTCCCATTAAAGGAGATAATAACAACTAAGTTATATCGTAAACTGAAAAAATTAGCCTGATGTATAAAAGATACTACGTATCACTCAATTTCATGAAAAATTTATCCCTTTCCCCTCGCCTTTGTTCCAGTAACATACATAAACTTCTACTAAAAAAAAAATATAACTACATTCTACTTGAAAAAAGTACATAACCTAATTTCTGTGTTATTGTCTATATTTTTACCTTTTTATTCCTCTATTTCCTCCCCTTCATTTTGTACAAATGTTTACTACAAACATTTATTGCAATTTATTTGGAAACAACTTCTGTGATCTAATTTCTGTATGAGTATAAACTTGTCACCGCTTTATTTTTCTTACATTTTACGTTTGGAACATCTTACTTAAAAACAATTCTCCGTAACCTAATCCCCTTGTTAATGCGGTAAATAGAGTTTTGATTACGATAAAAGCACAAACAAGAATCTATGGTAAGCATCACAATACTTGGTGAACCACTAACAGCGTCTACATCGTGTATCATCTTTCTAAAGGAGACGTCAGCGTCTGGCTAAACCGCAAGAATGAACAGACTGCGTTTAAGCTACATTCAAGAAGGCTACAGCCACTACAGCGAATTATATGTGAATTTTGCTGGAAGGCGGATGACATTTACGGTTTGTGATGTAGTAGTTTAAAAGCATGTGATGTAATGTTTCTAACGACACGATAAGTGATTTTGTGAAACAAATTCGCGCGATATAGCTCGGTCGACATTATCGAACTGTTGTATTTTTACCCTCGGTCGATCAATTTTTCATAAGGTTATTCAATTGCTAAAAAATCAGAAAAATCAGAATAATGTATTAAGCTGAATAGGAATTATTTATTATTATTCTAGAAATAATAGAAATTATTAGATATTTAAATATGTTAATTAAGCAAATCAGACGTCATTGTGTATTTTCAGAAAAAGTGAAAATAAATTGTATAATTAGAATTTTCAAATGCTTTATAGGTTAATATACTACTGAAGATGAAGCATACGAAGTATACTTTGTACCTCGTCTGCAGCTTATCCATCTTAGAATAAACAAGTGGTAACTAAATTGCGTTCATAGTACCAACTATGGGTAACAAAGAAATCTTTGACAAAATAAAAAAGAAGTTTAATAGAATAACAGCAACATTTAAAAGGTTAAAATAAAGAAGTAAA